ATTAAAAATAATCTTCTACTATACTATTCTACTATGTATATAAATATCATAATACAAAATAATAAAAATATAGATCCCGAATATTAAATAAAATATAATGTTAAAAATAGAAATGTGATAATAAATATAGTAATAAATGATATAAAAAAATAGGGATAATTATAAAATAAATAAAATTATAATAAAATGTAATTTTTCATAACTAAAAAAAGATTAAGAAATTAAGGAATTTTATGTCACTATGGTAATAATATAATAAAGAATTCTGTATTTACTAATATATTTATAATTTATTATCTTGAAATATAAATTAATAATATTTATTTTAATTAAATTAATATAAAATAATCAAGATTTATCTAAAATTAAATTATATTTTTATAATTTTAAAACTTATATATTTATTTTATATATTTAGTATATTTTTAATATTATTATAGTAATATAAATTTTTTTAATTCTATAATTTTTAAATTTTAAATTTTAGCTAATTAATTAATATTTAGAAAGTATGTGATTTAGAATAATTTAATTAGTATATTAATAATAATTTTAGTTATAATTTAGTAATACTTTAAAAATAATTCAGAATTATAATTATATAATTTGCTTAATATTAGTTATAATTTATAAATAGCTTATTAATAATTCAGTTATACTTTAGAAATAATTCAGAAATAAATTTTATTTATTTTTTTATTATTTTTTCTTTATAGAATATTTATTTTATTTTATTATTTATTATTTAATTTTAATTTTATTATTTGTATTATCTTTTAATTAATATATTAATTTTATTATTTGTATTATCTTTTAATTAATATATATATCTTATTCTTTAACTTTATTTATTAGTTTATAGTTTATTGCTTGATTTTTATTTCATACTTATAATTATATACTGTAGTTATAAATAAGTTATAAGTAAAGCTCAAATAAAGATCATATAACTTTAAATATCTCTGCTCTTAAATATGAAATAAATATACTTGAATAGTAATAATTCTTTTATACTTAAAATTATTTGAATTATACTTGTAATTATACTTGTTTCTTTTATCTTAATATTTATTTTTATTTATCTCTTTTATTATATCTGATTAATTATATATTTTTCTTACTTGAAAAATATAGATAGTGAATATTCTCTATTTAAAATAAGTTAAATATATTTTATTTTGATTTACAAGATTCTTATAAGCTTTCCTATATATAAAAGTTTTATTTATTTTAATATATATTCTTTATTTATCTAATAGTTAAAAAAATACTGTTAAAAAATTTAGTCAATATATTAAATTTATAATTTTTAGTTTAGTTATTTTAGTTATAAATACTTTTTTCTATTATATTTTCATAAATATAACTTTTCTTTATTATTTATTTTCATTTTTATCTTGTAATAATATAATACTTGCAAATATTAATACTAGAAAATCTTTAGAATAATCATAATTCTCTTTATTATTATGAATAATTTAATCTTAGCTTTTAAAACTTATTATAAGTTATATTTTGAATAAAATCTATCTTTACAAATATAATTTATAATATTTGATGCTCCTTCTGTAAAATCAAAACTCTCAGAGATTCTTTTTATTTTATTTATAATATTTTATTCATTTATTAATTATTTTAAGGATTAGCTATTCTTGAAATATTTTATTTTGTCTAAATAATTTTATAGTTTATAAGTATATATTATTTTTTTATTAGACTTTTATATTCATGCAAAAAAATTTATATACAGTTAAAATCAAAACTTAGCTTCATTTGATACATATAATCTGATATTTATTAATTTAGTATCAATTTCTAAATCATATCAAAAATAAAAAGTAACAGTTGTATTAATATTTAATTTTGAATTAAAGATTTAACTTATGTAAATTTATTTTTTTTGCTTGTATTTGTAATATTTTTTTGTTATTTTAGTCTTTCTTGTTTAAGATACTTTTTAATTTTAGGATATTCTAAAGAGTTATATTACTAAAAATATAAATTATTCTATTTGTAGTTGTCCACTAGATAAAAGATAGAGTAGAAAAGTTCAATAATAAAATTTATACAATCTGAAAATATTTTTTAATATTATATTCTATTACAAATGTCTAATACAAGATGTACATTTCCTGATCAAAAGTGTCTGATCACTTTAAAACTGGATAAAAATATACAAACTTCAATAATTAATTTCTTGATAATTTATAAATAAATATTATAAAAAATTTATATTATTTTATTCAGAAAAATATAAATTTTATTAATATCTAGTTGGATTTTTATGACTATCTAATATTGCTTGAATCCTTCTTGACAAACTTTTAACTAAATTTGTTAAAATTTCAGGCTCAATTTTATTCCACTTCTTTTCCAAAACTACTATTAATTCCATAATATTTTTTGAATGAGATTTATGTTTTCTAACTCTTTTTTTCAAAACATCTCACAAATGTTTAATTGGATTAAGATTTGGACTCTGTGCAGATTATGGAAGACTTAATACCAAATTATTCTCTTTCTATTGATTAACCATTCTTGCTATATATATTGGAGCATTATCATCTTGAAAAATATATTGTAAATTATTTTCTAAACTACTATAAAAGGATAAAAAAGTATTTTCTAATATATTTATATATAAAATCTGTTATTCTATCTGAAACTTGAATTAAAGGACTAATTTTATTTTTTGCAAAACATCTTCATATCATAACTCCTTGATTTCCAGATTTTACAGTTGGAATTAAGTAACTTACATCATATTTTTCATGTGATCTATACTAAATTCTTTGATATGCATTATTTTGAAATAACATAAAGTGAGATTCATCACTTCAAATAACAGAATTCCACTTATCATTTTAATTTCTTCTTTCACAGTACCATTTTAGTCTTTTTTATGATTTAGTTCAGAAATAAATGGTTTTCTCTTTCCAGCTTGTCCATAAAATCCCTCAATATGTAAACTATACTTTATAGTACTAGAAGATACTGAAATTGATAAAGATTCACTAAATTTTTTTGTTATTTTCTCTAATGATTGTTGCCAATCTTTCTTAACTAATTTTACAAGACTTCTAATTTCTCTTTCTGTGAGTTTTGGTGACCTTCCTGAATGTGGAACATCTGTAATATTTCCTGAATTTTTATATTTGTTATAGTATTATGAATAGTGATTTTAGAATGTTCAAGAATTTCTCCAATATTTCATTTACTATAGTCTCTTTTCCAGAGATCTATAATCTCTTCTTGTTCAAACTCAGTAAGTTCACGCCTTTTAGACATTGTAAAAGAAAAAAAAATTTTATTTTCAGGTAGCTGAAGTCAAGAACTGTATGAAAAAAAAATTTTATTTATTTATGCTTAATAGTTTTGATATAATTTCATTTTAAAAGGTAATGATCTGTAATCTTAAATCAGGTGGTCGGAGACTTTTGACCGGGGAGTGTACATGTATATCGATATCACGACTCCATTCATCAAAATGTCTGTTCACCAATACCAATTTTGGGACATAATCCAATATTGCTATATATATATATATAACACTGCATAAATCCTGAAATGAAAACGTTCTTATTAATACGAAAAATGATATCGATATGCACGAAAAAACCGAATTTGATAATATAATATTCAAATTTTCATAATATATTTATTATATTAATCCAAATTTTTATTATTGATATCCAAATAATAACCAACCAAATTTCTAATTACCCAATAATTATAAATCATTTAGGAAATATTCATCCAATTAGGAAATATATGATTATCAATACCTAAGCAAAAAACATTGTTCCGGTTAATGACTTATAAGGTCAGGGTAAGTAGGAGACAAGACTATATGTAAAATTGTCTTCCTGACATTTTTAATTAGTATTCCAAGACAGATTTAGACACTAGTTTTCTCGAAATATTCACCGTGTTGATTAAAAATTTGTGCATTCTTACTGGTGATTTACAAAGGATAGTGATCCTAAGAAAGAACTTATGAAAGATTGACGTGATTGGTTGGTTGTTCATTAGTACATTTACAGAGGTCATAAATAACCTGCTGCTTTAGACGTTTATCCATATTGTTATTATTTAACGTGATTGTGACAAGTTGTTAACATGTACATCTAGTAATTGTAGTTGATCAGCTAATAACAAGTTACAATCAATCGATTATAAAGGAGGAAAATATTAAATCGAAGCATATGATTTCCAGCTTCGGAAAAGAAACTAGTTTGCTTAGATTCATTATCTGAATTGGCATTTTAAAGGTTATATATATTTAAACTAATATTAAATAATTCAATGAATCGTAAAAATCCAGTGATTTGATTGGAACTTTAACCGGTTAGGATCACTATTTTGGAGTCCAAAAACCATCAGTCAAGTGGTGCTTAATCTCTATTTAAAAACCAATAGGTTTCAGCCATAAATTCTCTTCCTGGATCATTTGAGGCTAGGTCAAAGTTGAAACCTATATCTGAACAATCTTGTAAATAAACATCAATGGTTCTTCAAAAAAGTTGCAGGTCATGAGAGAATTACCTTGCCATGGTTCGAATTGTGTAATATCATCTAAGCTCACTGGAGCATCAGAGGTTGAATCAACTTGCGAAGATGGGTCTGTGGAGTCACCTTTACATGGTTCGAATTCATTTGAGTGTAGTTGTATAAAAAGTTGCAGATCATGAAAGAATTACCTTGCCATAGTTCAAATTTTCTTTTGTGTATAATATTTTCTAAGCCCGCTGGAGCATCAAAGGTTGAATCAATTTGTAAGAATGGGTCTGTGAAATTACATTTTATAAGCTCATTGGCAACAGAGACTGAATCAATTTGTAAGAATAATCTGTAGAATTACCTTGGCTTGGTTCGAATTCATTTAAATGGAATATAGCATCTTCTAAGCTCACTGGGGCATCAGAGGTTGAACCAAGATGGAAATCTAAATAAGCGGGCTCTATTTCCGAGAATGAGTCTGTAATGTAGGGATCTGTCAAATAAATGAGATCTCTATCACCAATTGGAGCTTCTGCCACTGACGTCGTAAAATGATTATTACTTGCGGAAATTCGGAAATTCACTTTGATCTCAGTTGGCATTGCACGATATAAAGCAGAAGCCAGCTTAGAAAAATTTCCTTGTCTCTTAATATTATATAACAGGCAATTGGGCTCTGTGCATCTCCATGCTATGGTTCGAGATTTACGCAGGAGTATACGAAAAATAATCCATTCGTTGCATTTTTTCTGGCATTGTTCAATGACTTCAGACAGGATGTCCAAGCAAAGGGGAATCGAATGCGACGTGAGTTTACATGCAAAAGAAATAAAGATGCGGTTTCCTGGAGGAATCTCATGAGAAAAGATTATTTCCTTCGTCAGAGACATGTTGCAAATTGAGACTGGCTAATTTTTTAGTTTTTGGACACTATATTTATACGTAGTTTCGTCAGATCATTCATTTAGAAATTATGTGCACCTTTAAAGTGAAACACACAGCTGTAATCAATTGCAATTGTGTTGCAGCTATGTTTGTTATGTGCACTTTTAAAGGAAACACACAGCTGTAGTCAATTGCAATTATGTTGCACTATGTTTTCATTTCTTGGTTACAATTTTAATTCTTAGTTTTTGTGAATAATTTTTATTTGTACGTAGTGTCCGTCAGATCACCATTTAGTACACTTTTAAAGGTGAAACACAGAGCTGCAGTCAATTGCAATTATGTTGCAGCTATGTTTTTATTTTGGTTACGAAGCTGCAGCCTAATTGTAATAGAGTAATCATTATGATTTATTATAGTTGACGGTATAAAAAAAACACTATTTATAAATCAAGGATCCATATCTAAACCTTTATCATTTGTAAAAAATGATTAATATTTCTTCACGCGCTATCAACGAGCCGTGCAAACGTATAAAGAATCAAATGGCAACGGAACAAGAATCTTTAAACGATGCTCAACTTGATAATATAACGGTAAAAAAATCAAGAAACTGTTTTCAATTCAAGCATTTTAGAATCTAATTTTTATTAAACGGCCAATTCAGGATATAGCCTTTTCTCTCGCAGAAAATCGATTCATAACATCCTTCGCATGTGGATTTACTACTCACTCGATTGTCATTGAAAACGACGACAAATATCGAATTGGAAAAGACCAATATCGAAACAAGAAAAGAGATAACGAACACCGAATTGGATACATGACTTTTCCACCTGTAAGAATTCCAGAAGGCGAGAATGGGCTCAAAATAGCACGTGGACCAGCAGTAGACTATAAATGTAATGGCATGAAGCCTGGTCCAGTTCATTCGCAATTTACTGGCAAGGAAAGAGACAACGAATATCGAATTGGAAAACCTATAAATCCTTTTCTCCTTTTCAGGAGTACGGTGTCTCGTGCATTGGCCAACAAATGCTCGCAATGTGATAACGAAACTTGCTTATTGCGTAAAATTAACGCTACAAATCTTACTCGTTTGACATGGCATGTGTGGCGCGCCATGACAGATGAAGTGAAATTTTGTTTAATGAAAATTGTCAACCAAGCGAGCGTCATATCTGGAAGGAGATTTTGTGCTATGGAAATGCAACAACAGTATGTTGAGTTCATGGTTTGTTTTTGTTTGTTACCCTATATCTTTAAGTTTTTCAATTTTCGTCTGTTAGGTGTTCTGGACGGAGATTTTGTGCTATGGAAATGCAACAGTATGTTGATTTCATGGTTTGTTTTTGTTTGTTAGTTACCCAATATCTTTAAATTTTTCAATTTACGTTGATTAGATGTACAAGATACAAAAGAGCAAAAGCAGCCATGCGAGAAAGCGCTATCCAAGCGGAAACCAGGAGGGACCATCAGAGAAAAAACCCTTCAAGTAAAGTGCAAACCGGTTTGCACTTCACAAATTATTCCAGCGTTTAAATATTTCTTTTTTCCCTAATAATACGTAACACTCGCAGTATAAAATACGTAATACTCTTAGTACCATTAGTACTATTTTTCACTTTTAAGAAATTGTTAGTATTATCTGGATGGCAGATCCCTCTTGTTAAGTTTTTAAATCTAGAATCGCTATGTGGTAGTAAATTTCACATTATCTTGTAATGTTCGTTAGTTCGTTCATTATATTGTAATTTTTCGTCATTTCTTTAGGTTTTTTGTCATTTCTCTTTGTGATTATTCGTCATTTCTTTAGTTTTTTTGTCATTTCTCTTTGTGATTATTCGTCACTTCTTTAGCTTTTTGCATTTCTCTTTGTGATTATTCGTCACTTCTTTAGCTTTTTGCATTTCTCTTTGTGATTATTTCTCTTTGTCATTTCTCTTTGTGATTATTCGTCATTTCGTTCGTTAGCTTGTAATTTTTATTACAATTTTTTATTAAAACCCATAGCGATATTAACCATTTGTTCCCCGTGTCAGATGTTGAGATACTAATATCACGATTTAACAATTCTATATAGTAATGGGAATGAGAAAAGACGAATCCCTTATAAAGGTGATTTCGTCGCGATGGAGAATAATAGTTTTCTTTTATGTTAAAATGAAAATACTCTTTTAAACGTAAAATCGAGTAGAATAATAAAATAAAATAATATATTTTATTAATAAAAGAAAAAGAAAACATCCATATTGGTTGAGTGTCCACGGAGAGACTACAAAATAACCAACTGAATTGATTATAATAAATAAACTCTGTCTCACCCTACCAAAAAGTAAATAGGTGATTCAGCAGGAGTTTGAATCATGTGATCAAGTTCGTAAAAGAAACGCAGATACTACAGATAAAAATTCACCTGACCGAACAGTCTCACGATTTATCAAAAAAATTTCATTCTTATTGAATTAATGACAGTCGATAAATAATATAGGGATACTTTTGACTTCATTCATGTTTATCAGATATGATGAGTTTTACTACATATACGTAACCGTTATCAATTGTCGATATTATTAAAACTTGGATTTCTGATATACGAAAATTGCTCGATATTATAATAAAGTAGCATTGATACTATATGTATAATATTTATTTATATAAAAACTTAGAGTAAGAATATTAAGTGAAAATTGAAGATCGACTGATTAAAGACATTCTTTAATTTCTTCATTTGTCTTAGGATATTCTAAAGAGCTATAGTACTAATTAGTAATATTTATCGTTATATTTGATAGATCTGATAAAATCAAAAAGTTCCTTATGTTTTCTGAAGTAGGATCCCAACATTTTTCAATAATAAATTTATACAATCTGGGAATATTACTTGGTATCGTAGGTCGTACTCCATTATAGATGTCTAATACAAGATGTATATCATAACTTCGTCCAAATGTCGTTCACAAGTCACAATTTCGTACACAATCATTCTAAAGCTATAAATATCTGCCTTCCATTAACATCTCTGGACTCGTATTTGGAAGTGCACCGCAAATTTCTTGATTGGACTTTTATATCTGCTGATTCAAATCAGCAATATGAGGTAATTTAAGAAATGATATATTTCCAAATGAAAAGCATCCATTCTTTAAAAATTTGATTGCAACAGAAAATAAAAAAGCAACTTTCACTTTTAAAATTTTTTTACTGTGTAATGATTTAAATTCAACTTTTCTTTTTCCATCTCGTTTTTCATTTATTTTCTTCATGATCCTAATGTTCCTTCTTTAGTAATTCATCCAAACATGGATTAATCTACAAGAAGCTAACGAAACACTGCACCGGCTTTCTTCTGGTAAAAGCGATTAAGCTGAAGTTATCATTACAAGCAAGAGATAATTTTTCTTAATTAGGGGAGCGCCATATTTCTTAGAGGGGTGCCAGTCATGTAATATTAGAAGCATAGATGAAATCAGATATATATATATTATCGATCAGGTGTGGCTATAGTAAATTGAAATCTGGCACTCCCCTTACTTTAAACTTTATTAATTTTAACTTGTTCTTGATTAAGACTCAAGAGCACATCTTTATTTTGAATTTTAAGTACATATTTTGGTTTATGTTTTGGAATTGCACTAAAACTATAATAAAGATAGTACCTCCCTGTAGAATCTGTAAAATACTTGGTATCCTATATAGCCACGGCAAAAAAAGTGACGGTTCACGTGATTTTTTTGAGGGTAAACCAATCAAAATCGCAAGATATCAAATATTTAATAGCCTTGAAAATCACGTGAACCATCACTTTTTGCTGTGGCGAGGGGATAAAAATATTTTTTTCTGCTCTTTATAATAATTAAGAGACATCTTTTAGTTTGTAGAATATACTTCATATAAATACTTGATATTTATGAACAAGCTAATGAAGTAAGTTATTTTATTGATGAAATCTTTCCATTGAGCTTGTTATAAATTTTATTTGTAACAAGAAGTGCAAAGTATCTGCTAATATGAAAATGGATATAAATCACTGTATAACTAGATGTTGCATAAAAATCTACTTCTGTTTTTGGCTTCTATTGAGTACCTTCCGAAATTGTATTATACTAAATATTGAATCCGCTACTAATTTTCATTAACAAGTTTATGATCAATACCCTATCACGAAAGATTTTAGGAATTACTATCCACTCCACATTCAATTATTCTATTGGTTAGCTAGTGACAGAGGTTTACAAGATCATTGTGAATAAATTATAAAACCAGTTTTGGGACACAGGGACTTAACTTTTATTATACTTATCCAATAAAACGAAAAACATTTCCTTTCTAAATCTGTTTAGAAACACATGCTTTTTCCTTGCGCTCGCTTTGTTCATGATCATGATAACAATGATACAATTACTTCTTTTAAGATGAATGTGACTGTGATCATAAAATTAAAAAAGAAAGTAAGAGAGTTAGAGCTTGAAGCATCAGTAAGAGAAAAGTGGCACAAGTCAAGAGAGCTTGACGAATTCACCGATTTCGCCTTTAGAATCGTCAAATAAACAGCAGCTGGACAAAATTGTGCGAATGGCTATATCTAAAGATAAATAGAGACCTAGAAGAGGAAGTTACAGGAACTCACAATGTAAAAATTGTGAAGAAACATTTGTGTGATAAGATCCGTGATTTAGAAGGTAAATATAAATACGTCAATTAACACGTATTATGTTTTTTTGAATATTAGGGGTCTTATCACAGTACCTAGAAAACACAATTGAAGTTCTTGTAACCTCAAATATAGGTGGTTTTACATGACACGCCATAGAAAGAGTGATCACCTCTATGTATTATATTAATTATAAATTTATAACTATTAGAAAATCTTAGCAAATAGATACTAGGTAGTTCGTATAGATTTCTTTTATTTATTTTTTCAAGATTGCGTTCAACACCGAATATAGTTTTTGATTGGACCACGTCAAATACAATTGATCAATTAGTCGTCTTAAAGATAAACGAATGTGATTAAAAGATGAACCTTATGCAGATGATTTGCTTTCGCGTCGTCCATTAGCAACTGCAGGATGTTCAAAGTTAGCTAAATGTGACGCGGCTTGACGTACTTTTGGATCATAATGATGCTAATAAAAAAAAGATTAATAAACGATTAGTATACTGAAGAAAATAAATACCCAAATAATATACCTCTAATAAACACAATTCCCACAAATTCGTTGCAAACGGATTACACAATTCTGGATCGTCAAGTTCCGCACGGTATACCCCATTTGTGAGGCGGTCTTCTGTTGTTAGTAATGCATCAAGACGCGGGTGTTTCTGATGGAAGAGAATATATTAGATCGTATCTCAAAAATTCACTGAGGAATTCTATAAATAAATAATATACCTGAATCATTTTCTCCATTCTATTTAAACATTCCAAAACTGCTTTACTCGACCAATTAAGACACGCGATAGATAGACGTTTTAAGAACGCGGCTGATCTATCAATTGGTATCTAATTATACAAATATACAAAACAAATAAATAAATCTATCAATAATATAAATTTGAAAAGTAAATTATCTTTTTACCTGTCGTCTCTTAAAAAACATAAACTCAAATCCTTTCATCAACAATTCTTGTTCTGTCGCCGTTAATTTAATTTCATTGTCATTATTATTATTATTCTTCTTCTTGTTCTTTTTAAGGAATTCATCGTTATTGTCTCCCATATTCGGATTCAACGCAAGTGGCAACAATAACGCGTACATTTCTGTGTAAAAGTCCTTGAGATCAAAGTTTAATGCTTCGCCTTTATTTAATTCCCAGAGCACCCATTATAACTAAAATTAGCCAAGGTCAATATTAAGATAAATCATAAAACCAAAAAGAGAAAAATCACCTTGTCCAGACAATAGTTGAAATGCCGTAATCACACACAATAGACTTCTACGGGTTGTAACACGTCTTGAATCAATAACCTCGTTATCATCCAGATGACCGCCATCCTTTGATCGTGAGATGTCAATGCTATCATTACCATTTCCATTTTCACCACTATTATCAGTCATCATTATCGTTTTTAATGCTTTTAATAGGTCACTGAAAAAATCGACGTTGATAAGATGCGCAAATCTGAAGACATAAATGTATAATTTTGTTAAGAATTATTCATGTAATAACTAAATATAATTTTGTGTTATATAATTACTTTGCTAGTCCTTCTAGTACGGGCGACAATAGCGGCGAGTCATTAGAGTGTTTAAGTATGCGAAAATATGTGGCAAATACCAACTTTAATGTCTCTGTTTGCTTCATAAGAAATTCAGAATAAATAGGGAGATATAACAATAATATAATAATAATTAAAATAAAATTACTTTCTTCTCTTTATCCTCTCGATCAACCACAGCTTCAGCCTCCTTCATCTCCTTCTCCACAACTTTACGATCTTTCTCTAATTTTCGCATCTTTCGCGAAATGTGTTGATGTTCTTTTTTTCGTTTCTTCATGGACGGCTGTTGTTGGTCTGATGATGATGATGCTGCATTATTGGAAACAAGTTCATCACGAAGTCGTAAATGTAAAAAAGTATTAATAACTAGTTCATGCACTTTGTATTTTTGGGCCTTGATCATTCGTGTGGTTATTTTCACCGCGTCAAGACTTGCTTCCCCTGATTCATCGTTTTTGTAGACCTCTATTATTGCATCACAGCACATTGCTAACATCTAGGATAATAGTCCAGAATAAAACAACGATAAACTTGATCTTTTTCGCAGCAAATCATGAATCATAAATCTGAAAAAAAATACATCTGTAAATTTCCTTGTACTCATTCTCGCAATAATAGCATTCATCAAATTCAATCGGAAATTGAAATGGGTTGCTGAGGTTAGTAGAGTACACATGCATTGTAATGCTATTTTTCCTATATCATCTTGATCTTCTTGTGCAGCTGAGGTTCCTTTTTTGTTTGGTCTCTTTTCGGTGGCTACGAAAAATAATTTATTAAACAGACATTCGTATATGCTAGACAGAAATTGCATAATAATGAAATACCCTTCACTGCGTCCTGCAAACTCTGCAAATATGCTTTATAATTGGCTAATAAGTTTTGCTCAAAGTATCTTAGTTTTTTCACCTCTTTGGACACCTGGCAGAGAAAAATTCTAAAGTGAAATTTTCTCAGAGAAATCATAATCGTTGAAGGATTACATAATTTATTACCTTAACAGATTTCTCCTTTTCAGTTAACACGCGTATTCGGTACCTGAACCAAACCAAAAAAAAATGATCAATTAAATTCGACATTATAACATCCATATTTATAAAAAAGATAAACGCACCCAGGAATAATATCCTTGTAAACAGCCAATTGTGTCAAAAACGCAAATTTTTTCACGATAACATTGGAGTCTTTTGATACCTCGCGTAACTTTCTCAATTGACCGACCTAAATTAATATACATATTTAATTACCTATATACTACTTCTGATAAATTAATAACACACATTTTGTTCAGGATCTTCAATAATCGATTGCGCAACATTAGCCAACTCTTCTTTTTTTGATGTATAATAGGCTTTTGGATCAACGTGTTTCTCTTGTTGTGTAACTTGATCATTCTCGTCAATGTCATCAATATCGTCATCACCACCATCACTACCATCCTCATCACTCGAAATATCTTCACTATCATCACAATAATCATCAAATCTTGGATCCCCTGAGCTATCCTCATTTTCATCATCCTCTTCACTATCATGTTTTTCTTCATCAATCATTTGATTGACCAATTTACCATTCGGTAACTTTATAGGAAGCCTAGCTGACGCGTTTTGTACACGCCATGAATTATCAGGCTTTCGAGGTTCACGTTCATATGATTGTTCGTCTATATCATCTGTTAGATCCTGCAGAACTTCGAATTTAGACATATTGATATTCACTTTTTTTTTTCTTGACATTTTGATTCGTTTATATAAGTTGTTTATGTCGTGCAAACATCGAATCAGCCAATAGAATTCTTAGATATATTTGATAAGTTACATGGTACATTTCACCCTCTAAATTGGTAAAGTAGATCAAAAAATCGAATTGAACAAAAACCATAACGATAACGCATTTTGTTGCGAAGAAAATTAAACACATATAATTTATCACGGTTCGCTTCTTTCTGATAAAGACAAGAATAATCTTTGTTATTGGTGATTATCGATGGTTTGATTATCAAAGATTCTCATGCTCCTGCTGTCCTGCGAATGTATGCGATCGGTTAAAACTCTTAATGGTCAAAGAACGGGAATTAAATTGCTTCGTTTCAATATCAAATTCAATTTATTGTATGTATCGGTAACTTACAATAATTAGTAATAAAATAAACGGGTTCCGAATTTCATAGGCACTTTTGATGTATTCGGGCAACAATCAACACAGCAATGTTTGTCGTAGAAATGTATTTCAAATTATTTCGTGCGAGTTCAGGTGCATATCGACACCCGCATGGGTTAAATTAATAGTCGGCACTAACCAACCAATACACAACGATGTCGAATAGATACGAGAAAAGGCTTATTTGGAGAATATATGCACGTTAATATTATTACTTTTATTTATTGCTTCTATTTTTGTTTTAGTGACCTATCCAAAAACGCGTTCACAAGCACGCACGCGCGTACATAGCATACACACACTCTTTTTTCCTTCTTTTCTCATCACGCACCACATGTCCTTTTTCTCAATAAATAGAGAGTCTAAGATGCTTATTTTCTCAACACAGTTTTTCAAAAAAAAAAACCTTCCTCGCACCCAAAACTCCCCTCCCGTCTCATATACACATATCTCACCACATTCATTCCCTCTTACAAAAAATCATACTTTCCCTTCCTTCATCCTATATCCCGACTTAGAATAAAATTCCTTCCTCCTCACATCAATACATACATACATAAATAGAAAATATGAAGACTGCACTTGTTCTTGCTCTTTTCTTCATTCTCTTTGGTTTCAGTGCCGCTACAGATTTTAACGTGAGTAAAAATTAACTATCCAATAAAGAAAATAGAAGTTACAAGAACCTCTTCCTTTATGCCATTCAATACTTCATACACGCATATATAATCATGCCATCTTATATTCATATAGTTAATCTCACCATGGGGAAATTCTGTTTGGACATCTGGCACTGATCAAACGGTAATATGGGGGGTTTTGACAAAAGGTGCCGATGCATCTGCGCCCGATGTTAAAACATGTAACCTAGATCTTATGCAAGGTGACTTCAACAATGCCAACTTGGTTGCCCATATCGGTAGCAATCTCGATGTGAATATGGGTAAATACTTGTGGAAGAATGTTCCCGATTACCCAGCTGGCAATAATTACTTTGTCCGTGTTGGTAATCCCGCCTGGTGGAGGTAAATCTCTATTTCTTTCCCATTCCGAGATTGTTCATGAGTGGAAATGATACAATAACATAATATTTTGCTTTTATTATTAGATATGGTCATGCTTTCACTTTCCAAGGCAAGGGTACCGTAAAATCATTGGCACAGCCTGGTAAGTTAAAGCATAATATTTAATTATTTGTCCAGAGCATACAGTCAGACTAAATTTTTGTTAATTAAATAGCATACAACGCATCTGCCCATGCTGCCGATGGACCTTCCAATATTGGAAACACCAATTCAACTGCCATTGCCGCTGCTGGAGGAAACACCACATCACTTGTTACCGACAACTCATCAAATTCAACATCATCATCAAGCAGCACCAGCAGTGCATCAAGCAGCTCATCAAGTTCCTCCTCAACATCAAAACCATCTTCAAATTCCGATCCATCAAAAAATGCTGCCGCCACCACCAACGCTGCTTTGTCTGCTATCGCATTGACCTTCGTCGCTGCTTTGTTCAACCTTTAAAAAATCTATAGAATTTACCATTATTGTTGTTATTATTGATTGATCTATTATAAATCAATTAGTTTTAATTTAATTTTAGTGTATAATAATAGAGTTACATATTAAATAATAATAACGATGATAATCATAACCAGACTACCCATTAATAAACCATAATTCAAATCGCGTATTTCCTTCTTTAGATTTTTGTCGTTGAAATCAAACATTGAATAGATCAAGGACTTTTGTTACTTTTTAAAAAAGAAAATTCGACCAAAAATTTTTCATTTAACTAATTCAAGAATAATAGTAATTCATTCCAACTTTGTCAAGAATAATAGTAATTCATTCCAACTTTGTATTAATTCACTCATTTTTTTATCTTAATTCTCATCCACTTCGATTGTAATTTTTGGGTGGGAATGCATTTAAATAATAAATAATTAGATGTGTTCTAGTATAATGAATTATCCTTCCCGCCAAATGTATTATTATTAAATAAAGCATTGATATCTAGATTTATCTAATGTGCAAAATTATCGTAAAACTCGGAAAATATGCACTTCCTGAAAGTAATCATCCCTGACCCGTATTAGGGTGCTTTATTTATTTGAAAAATTGATTATCACGTGGAATTTCCTATTGTCATGCCACGTGACTTGTTATAAATTAATAAACCAATTAAAAATTTATCACCATTTTCTAGTAATTTGAATAATTGTAGTTGAATGAAAAAAAGATTTTTAGGAAATATGAGTTAATACAAGATTTAAAATTAAATGCAAATATATTTAATATAATTATTATAATTTGTATAATAATATTTCAAGAGTTAAATACATCAAAAGAATTAAATTTTTATTTGAAAAGTATAATAATAATTATAAAAAAAAATTTTATCAAATTGAAATATTTCATGAAAATTATAATATATTTTTTTTATATTTTTAATAATTTTATTTTTTAATAATATTATTTTAATATATTAAAATTTTTAATAATTAAAATTAAAATTAAATTTATATTATATTATTTATAATTATCTCATATAAAATCAAATAATTATAATTATATAATATAAATATTATATAAAAAATAGATTTATTATATATTATTTATATATTATATAATATTATAACTTTTAAATAATAAACTAAAATATAAAGATATTATATAATTTTAAAAAATAAATATAATATCTTTTTATTTTTTAAAATATATAATAAAAAAATAATTAAGTTAAAAAATATTAATCTTTAATAATTTTTTATATTAATAAAATAATATAAATAATATTTTCTTAAAAATATAATAAAGTTTAATTATTTGTTATAAATAAATTAATAAAAGAAAAATTATTAATTTTATTATTTCTTAAGATATTTATTAATAATAAAATAATTTAATATCAGAAATAAAAAGAAAAAAATTTTATTTAAGTAAAAAATATTAAAAAAGTAATTATAATTTGCATAAAATTATAAAAATTAAATTATCAAAAATTAAAATTATATAATATAATAAGTTTAAATTTAAAATTATTAATTAAATAGAAAATAATATTACAAAAATATTTAAAAAAATTATTAAATTAATTTTATATTAAGTTATAATAAAGTTTAAAGATAGATTAATAATAATTTAATATTATTTTATATTTTAAAGTATTATTAACTTTTATAAAATTAATAAGATTATAATTATTAAAAATTTTATAAATATCATTAGAAATTATAAATTTACTATTAGAAATATTATTTTTTAATAAAATAAAAATTCTAGATATATATAATAATTTTAATAAAATAATAATTTAAAAATAATTAAGTTCAAGTTTTAAATTAATTATTATAATTTTCTAATCTAAATCTTATTAAATATTTATAAAATAAGATTTAATTATTATCTTTAATATCTTTCTAAGCAAATTTCAAGTAAAAAAGATTTATAAAATAAAATATAATAGATTTGATAGAAAATTAATATGAAAATCTATATCAATCTGATTTACTTAATATTAAAAAAAATTTGTAATATAATAAAAACATGAAATAACTATATAAGATAATAAGATAAAATAAATTTTATCTAATATATATATTTAAATAATAAAAAATAATAGTTAATTAAGTTTATTATATTTATATTTTATTATATAAAAGAAAAAAAAAGTAATATAATAATACTTACTAAATAAATATATAATTTACTGAATAATTATTCTATATATTCAAATTTAGTTTTAATAATCTAAAAATTATATTAAAATCTATTAATTAAAAAATGAATATTCTTAAATTATTATGAAATATTTTAATATAATAAAAATTATTTTTAATTATAATCATTATTATATATGAAAATTATTACTTATTTAATAGCTTAATAAATTAAATTATGTAAATTATAAATAATTTTTATTAAATTCATCTCTTTTTATTATTAAATAATAATAATTTATAATTTTTTTTAAAATAAAAATATATATATATAATGCTTTTATAAAAGAGAAATTAATCAGATTTTAGATTTGACTTTTAGTTATAATCAATTAATAATAACTAAATTATATCTTAACTTATACTATATATAATATATAATCATATTATAATTAAATATATTATATTATTATTTTATCAATATATTAATTATTTTTTTTTTATAAAAATAATTAATTTTTAAATTAAATTTTTATTTAAAAATAATACTTATTTAAATCT